GTGTAGACAATCATGTCGTCTACTAAAGGAACAGTTTTATTTCTTCCTTTCCAGTCTGTACACTTTTCATTTTCTATTGCTGCCTTATCACACTGGCTAGAAGTAACAGCACTATGTCGCATAAAAGTGAAAAGAGTAGACATCCTTGTCTTTTCCAGCCTTAGGGGAAAAGTATTTACTCTTTCATCATTAGCTATATTAGGTCAAGGAAATTGCCTCCTATGGCTGTTTTTCTGAGAGTTTCTATCATGAATGACTGTTGAATTTTCTAAATGCTTTTACTGCATCAATTAATATAATCATGTGATTTTTTTCCCTTTAACTTGTTAATATAGTGGATTTTCAATATTATACTAGTTTTGTATCCATGGGATAAATCTCACGTAGTCATAGTGTATAATTCTTTTTCTTTTTTAATATTTATTGTTGCAAATATTACATATGTCCCTTTTCTTCCCCCCATAGACTCCCTCCAGATCACCCCCACTCCCCACTCCAGGCCTACAGCACCCTATTGTCTGTGTCCATGGGTTATGCATATATGTATACAAGGTCTTTGGTTGATTACCTTACACCCATCTACCCTCCCCGCCTTCCCTCTGAGATTCCACACTCTGTTCCATGCTTTCATGTCTTTAGAAACACTCCATTCATCAGTTTATTTTGTTAATTAGATTCCACACATGAGTGAGATCATGTGATACCTGTCTTTCTCTGACTGACTTATTTCGCTCAGTCATACTCTCCAGGTCCCTCCATGCTGTCTAAAAGGGTGAGAGATTCTTCTTTTTTACTGCTGCATAGTATTCCATGGTATACATGTACTACAGCTTTTTTACCCACTTGTCCACTGATGGGCACTTGGGCTGTTTCCAGGTCTTAGCTATTGAAAATTGTGCTGCTATGAACATAGGGGTGCATATATTCTTTCTACTGATATCAGGGAGAGGGAGAGAAGGATAGAAACATCAGTGATGAGAAAGAATTATTGATCAGCTGCCTCCTGCACTCCCTGTAATGGGGATCGAGCCAGCAACCCCGGGTATGTGCCCTCATCGCAAATCAAACTGTGACCTCCTGATTCATGGATCGACGTTCAACCACTGAGCCACACCAGCTCAACAATATGTGGTCTTTTATACCTGGCTTCTCTCGCTTAGCATTAGTGTTTCAAGGGTCAGTATTGTTGTAGCATGTGTCAGTGCCTTATTCCTTCCTATGGCCAAATAGTGTTTTGTGTAGCGATTCCACATTTTGCTTATCCACTCATCAGTTAGTGGACATTCGGTTCATTTAGACTTTTTGGCCACAATGCTGCTATGAACATTAGGATACAAGTTTTTGTGTGAACACATGCTTTCAGTTCTCTAGGTTACATACTGAGGAGTTGAATAGTGGGTCCTATGTTACCTCTGTGTTTACTTCTTTTAGGAACTGCCAAACTGTTTTCCAAAGCAGCTGCAATGCAGGAGGGCTCTATTTTCTCCACATCCTCAAACATGTTTTATTGTCCACCATTTTGATCACAGTCATGGTTGTAGGTGTGAAGTGTTATCTCATTGTGGTTTTGATTTGCATTTCCCTAATGACTAGTGATGTTGAGCACCTTTTTATGTGCTTATTAGCATTTGTATATCTCCTGTGGAAACGGGGCTATTCAAACCATTTGCCCATTTTTTAAATTGTGGGTTATTTTTCTCTTAATTGTTGAGTTATAAGCATTATTTTGTATTCTCTGGATTCTGGACCCTAATCAGAAATAGGATTTGCAAATATTGTCTCCTTTTTAGTGGGTCATCCAGGGTTTTTGTTGTATTTAGCTAGAGGAGTAGAGAAAAATACATCCACCTCATCTTCCTATAAGTAAATGTCTCCCAAACTCATTTTTAATGGCTTTGGAAGGACCAAAGTGTGCTTCATTGCTTAAAACTCAAAGTTTAGTTTAACTTAGTGTGGGAGAGTCATTTTATTCTAGTGTTCAATTTCTTTTGTTGTTTCAAATTAAATTGTTTTAAAGACAATTTAGGGAAAAGGTTTTAATTTTTTTCTATGCGTTTTTATGACTTACCTCCCTGTGTATTCAGCATAGTGGCCTGTGTATTATATGCCAAGTTATACTACAGATCCCTTTAGCCCTCTTGGTAGCCATCAGAGCCTGAGACCATGCAAACCTGTGTTCTGTCCAGATATTATCACTTATCTGTATGCCATAAGGTGAAAAGGGTGAGGAGACCTGGGTAAGAAAACACGAGAGTGACCTTATAGCCCAAGTGAGAGTACAGAGTTCCCATCTGTGGTATGTTTTTAAGCTCTGCCATCAGAGCCATAGAAACAGGCACAGGAATGAGTGAGCATTTCTCATTTCTAGGCTAAATAGGTAGGTCTTTCATCTTTCCTTACCAAACAATGAGTAATTCAGAGATAATCACAAGAAATCAAGGATTTCCTGATATCTCCTGTCTTCACCCAAATCGTTGGCTACTGAGTTCTTCAAAGACTGATGCCTTCTTCCTTGGTAAAGATTGTTTTTTATGTCTATACTCCTGATTCTACTTCTCTTATAAACTCAAACACCAGTGTATAGCCATGGCTGGGGATATCAGAATTATTTTGAACTTCAAATATTTCTTTTGTTCCATAGGTGCCTGGGTGTATCTTACCAGCTCCCCAGCATTGCCAGACTGTACCATGAATGGATTATGCTTCCGATGAAATCCCTGGCGGCGTTTTGTTCAGTTTCCACTGCAGGGTTCTCGTTTATTCTCAAGCACCCTCTCTGTGTTTCTGCTCTGCAGCACCGCAGGCTGATTAAGGAACACTTTCCAAGCCACAGGGCTCCCCCTTTGTTAGTCTCCTACACTCTTTCATTGCTTGTATTATCCCCTCATTTCACTCCATTTTCGGTCTAATTTCAAATTTCTTGAGCTCTCTAAAATTCTGTAGCCTTCTCCACTCAGTGTTTCCTAGCCTTATTTTTTTTTATTCACCTTACTTTTATTATCTCTGCACAAACTAGTATTTTCTTTTTTTCTTTAGTCTACTTTTCCTGAAGTTTTGCTAATAGCCTTGATCTGTAGCAGTCAAACTCATTACAGTCTAGGTACTCTTCATCTTTTTCAGTTTTTAATTCTGTTTCTTATGTCAAAGGAAGAAATGTATGTGAAAGCCTTTTACAAACCAGAAAGCACTATACACTCGTATAACTTATTGAGATTAACAAAGGACCACTGTGCCTCTTTTCACGCTTTCTGCTCCTTCTGAGCCAAAAGAACTTCTCCATAGAGGAGGGGAATATTGAAGAAAAATAAAGCAATGGAATTGTCTCTTAGCAACCGGGTCTGCCTTATAAATCTTACTTTAGATTACTGCTGCTCAAAATCACTTGCTTTTCTTACTGGCTTAGTGCAAATAATGTTATTAAATTATCGGAAAAGAAAGGAAAAAATATACTGAATGAGTCGCTTAGTTCATCGACTCCGCTCTATCTTTGCATAACGCTGTTGATATAGTTGGGTTGTCTCTTTCTCTTGGTTCAAATTGAAAAAGTTTATAAATATATCTTTTGTTGTTACTTAAGTTGTAAAGTAAGTAGAAACTAAATACCACCTTATACATTTCTAGATTACCTGACTCCTGAAACAGTATGGGTCGTATAGACACTGCGTATAAATCAGGTTGTACATTTAAAGAAAAGCGGGTATACAAAACTCAAGCCAGATTGTGGTATGATTATTTGCATTATAAAAATAACTCGTGAGGCTTCTTCAGATATCTTTTAGTGCCTCCTGTGCTAAACAATGGGAGAGAGAGATATTCTCTTCGTGTGTGTGTGTGTGTGTGTGTGTGTGTGTGTGTGTGTGTGTGTGTGTGTAAATAGTCCTTGGCTTCCCCAGTAATAAGGTAGATAAGACTTGCACACAAATAAGTCAGTGAAATGATAAATGCCTGTGAGTGGAAAGCCAAGTGCGGAGGATGGAAAGGTCCCTCCCAGCCTGGTGAGCTGTTATGATTACATGGACAAGGTGACATGTTCAAGAATCCAAGACTAACAGAGATTTTTGTCAAGTTTGGAATTAAGACAAGATTGAAGTGGTTGGCAAGATATTGGTGCCTTCAGCACTAGAACAAGGAGTTTAAATTTTAGCCAGTAAGCAATGGGGAGCCACTGACTTTTTTTTTCTTAAATCAAAATCTTGTCTAAGAAAATTTATCGTGCAATAATTGTAATTTCAATTCTTTTAAAAACTGGTTTGCTGATATTCCTTTAGGCTCCTTACTCTTGGATAAAACAAAGATGTTTACAAGTTAATCAATTATAGAATTGTTTTATTTCTAGTCTCTTTAAAGGGTAGTCAAAAAACTATTTTCAGATGAAATAAGATCTGGTAAGATAAGCTAATTAGTTGGGCTTCATATGAAGAGGGATAGAATACTACTTTCCATACCTTCTGAAGTCGCTGTGAGGGAACTTTGTGTCGATCAGTCAGCCATCCTGCTGTCTCAGTTCTCCAACTGGGACAATGCAGAAATCCACCATTTTCTTTTTTTTTCTTCCTACGTGGATAGAATGAATATCTTTAGTGAAAACAGCTTCTTCTCAATGGCCCTCTTAGATTTGTTCTTAATTTTGCCAAACATTTGTTTACCTGAGCGAAAGACTTTGTTTCCCTGCCTTTTCCTTTACTGGGAGAAACAAACAGTGGGAGTGACAGCTTGTTGTGAGGCACTGCTGGTACAAAGATGAATTGCTGTGTAAATACTCTGAAAATGTTGATAATTGACTGTTAGTGAAAATGCAGTGTGGCTTGTTTTGTTTTGTTTTGTTTGTTAATCCTCACCCAAGGATATTTTTCCATTGATATTTAGAGTGAGTGGAAGGGAGGGAGAAAGACAGAGAGAGAAACACTGATGTGAGAGAGACAATAGATTGGTTGCCTCCCGCATGTGCCCCGATGGAGCCTGCAACCCAGCTATGTGCCCGTGACCGAAATCGAACCCGGGACCCTTCAGTCCACAGGCGATGCTCTATCCAAACCAGCTAGGGCAGGAAATGCAATGTTTTAATAATGAAGACTATAGAATAAGGTTGGCTATTATTTTCCATGCATAGCATGCCTTGGGGGATTTAGAGCATGAAATGCTTCCCACCTGCTTCTGTTAAGGAAGTAACACTTCCTACGTATTTACCTCACAGTTAAATCGTGTTTTTAAAACATTACAGCTAGAGAAGCAATGTGTTTTAGTGAGCCATATTAGGTGAACAAAGGGCCACTTCGTTAATCTAGTCATTCACTTGCTGTGTCAGGACAAGTCAAGACTCTTCCTTTGTGCCTTGGTATTCTGCTGAGACCGTCTGAAGCTGCCCTGGCCAAAAAAACCTGCATGCCAGCAACATGCGACTCCTGGGGACTTGGGGACACAGAACCAAAAGCTGTTATGTAAAATAGTTCAAGAATGAGATTGTGGGGTGCTGAGCAGCACACTGTTTGCCCTGTCGTCTTCCCCCACTGCATTGACCACACCGGCTCCCACCTGAGTTCAGAGTCGCAGGGAGAGGGAGGGATATGTGTCTGGGGCGAATCATGGTTTCCACTCTGGAAAGCTGGTCACGTCTCGAGTCAGTCCAAGCCTGAAGAACCTAGAAAAGATCTTGTTTGATTCTAATCCTGCTCTTTGGTGCCATGTGAGTCTCTTCTGCGTCTCTTGAGAAGGCGCCGGCAATTCTGTCTCTGAGCTTTGAAGGAGAGACTCCGGCTCTAAGACTGCACACCGAGTCCAGATCCCAGAGAGTGTGTGTCTTCAGATGGAAAAAAAAAAAATTTAGTTCAGTGGAATTTAATTCCATGATGAATGATAACAAATGACATAAGTTATTTTTGAAAATGAATTTTGGGTTTCAGAGCAAGACTTTTCTTTCTCTGCTTCTGACTTAACCATGAAGAAAAATTCAGAATAATCCTTAAAAACAGTAGTTCTTGCCATTAATTGAAAAGCATTTTGTTATCTGAAGTTGGGCTCCTCTCAAGGTTTAAAAGTTAGGAGCACAATTTTAGAAATAAATTATTTTGCATGTTTTCCCCTTTGCTATACCTTTTAGGTGCCAGATAGAGCTTGCTCTATTGACTCGAATCAAATGAAAGCATGTCCAGTGAAAATCACCTCTGGCTTGAGAACCAGACTGTAGTTCATTCAGAAACCAGAATGATCCTGGCCCAGTTTTAATGTACGAAAACTCTCCAGCCCACCTTGGCTGGAAGTTAGTATTATAGAACCAGGCTATAAAACGTGAGGGCCGGGGTCTCTCCACACTGTGGGAATCTGCTGTTATTTCTCAACAAATCAAATCCACCGTGAATTCCAGTGTACAGACTGTGTGGTCTAGTTCAGGCTGCAACATCAGCATGAATAGAGGAAGGCCAAGTTCAGGAAAGAGGGAAACCACAAGACTTAAGTGGGGAGGAAAGGGTTGCTTGGGTAGCCACAACGGCACATTTTGGATATTTGAAGATCATTGCCTCTCTTTCTCCTTCTTTCTTTCTTCCACATAAAGATTATGGAGGGAGTAAAAGGAGGAAAGCCTTGACTCAAAAAGGAAAAAAATTACATAAAATGGTCATCTTTACTGCCAGGGACTTCTTAATGTTTGTTGGGTGTGCACCCCAACTTAACACATTTGACCAAACATTTCCCATGATTCATCATCTTTTAATGATGCTGTATAATTCAAAAAAGATTATTACTATGCGTGGCCCATTTGCCTCTTGTTATTCTGCAAGAACAGGATAGGAAGGCTTAGGGAATACTTGTACTCCATTTTGTTTTCACAGTGTTACTAATTTCCTTCCATTAAAAACATATCTAAAATCTTTATTCTCGTTTTAGGTAACAGTATGACTAAATACATTGAGAAGCTAGAAGAGATCAAAAAAAGTAAGTAGCACTATTATTGATGGGCTGGCATAATGGGACCCTGCAGTAGTTCTATAAGTTGGTTATTAACAACCCTAATCGTACTCTATAACTGACACGCACGGAGAGCTAGGGGAGTCCCCTGGCAGGTGGCTGGGGAGACGTGGGAAACACAGTACCTTCCTGCTTAGCTGCTAGGATCGTGGCTTGTGGGTCGAGTTGTGCCTGACTTAGACCTCAGAGGAGGTGTTAATGTAGGAATGTAGCGTGAGCAGCGAGAACCTGCACTTTAGTTTCATTGTTCTACGGTCTTCTTAGTCTTTTTCAAGGTACTTAATCTTTCCTCCTTTCTCAATACCTGAGATAGGAGTAATAATGTCGTATTTCATAACACTCTTTTGAGTATAAATTAGTACTCATGAAAGCCTGGAAGATATGAGAAAGAGCTTATTCTTAAAGTGATGTTATACATTATAAATTCATTGCCGTCTGCTTTCTTTTAATTAAAAATCATATTTCATACACATTCTTTTTAAAAACTAATCTTCTGCAAAGATATGCCACTAGTCACTGAGTGTTTTGCTCTTGTACAAAATCATAATTTTTCAGTCTGTGTCCAAAACAGATGTAAAATGTACACATCAAGGCCAGAATTAAAGAAGAAGCAGAAACATCTACGTCCTAAGACGGATTTGCGCCTATCTCCAGTGGAACACAGTGCGAGGGGAGTATTTAGCTAATGTGAGGGAAGAGGGACTCGCTCAGATAACAGTTCAGAAGTTGGCTCCGGTAACATACATCTTCTGGGAAGAGATTACTACAAATCCAGAATTCAGAGAACTTTGTTTTTACACAGCAGGCCTTTTAATTTAAATGATAATGTTTCTGTTCCTTTTGAATTGCTGAGAAACCCCAGATAATAGATGTGGACTCTGGAGCAGCTTTCTGCTGACTCTGCTGTTTGCCTGCGTGAGCTATAGGACTCCTGCTGGAGACATTTGTTTCCTGATGTGTAATGTCCCAGTGGCCTTTTATTTTCTTCTTATACATTCTGTATTATAGCTTATACATTATTTTGCACTTTATATTGTATACGCATATATTTTAAGGATATATTAAAATTTTAAACTATGAAAAAAATCTTGTTTACTCACCTGGGCTGCATTATTGTCGCCCTTAGTTCATCCATGGCAGGACAGTCCGGCTGGCCTGCTTCGAATTCGGTGTGTAGTCTCTTTCACCTCCTATCCATTTGCAGCTGAGTAGAAAAGCTCACATGTCCACGCCAGAATTTGTCCCCTAAAAATGTCTTGTTCCACCCAGATTGCGGAAACCCGGTTTAAAACATTTCTTAAAAAACACAGTGTGGTTTCTTTAATATCTAAACTTTAAATGGAGCTTTTCTCCCCAAAGAAATGCCTCTGGAATGGAGTCCTTGGAAATGCTTTTCTCTTTAGAAGTTGTGGGCTTCCTTTTAGTAAAACAGGAGGTTCCTCTCACCTGGTTTCACACACTTTGTGCTGATTCCCTGACTAGAATTACTTCAGATTCTGGTTTGGGATCTACATTTTGAACGATATTTCCTTCTCTTATCCCATTTTCTGTTGTAGATGTTCTTTTGGGTCAAAGGGAGGAGAATATTGCCTTGTTTCGTGACACCCTAGCCCCATCACTTTTCTCGGATTACCTCAGATGCCATGTCTTTCTGTGAAATCACAAACCTTGTTCTGTTACTTCCTTTGATTTGTCTTCCACTGTGAGCCCAACTTCCCTTTGCTAATAACGTGTTTTAACAAAACTCTGAAAACGCAGAATTCCTTTGTAATCTGAATATTCTTTCAACTCTGCCTGGGGAGAACAGACACTCTGTGTCTATTGACCACTTACAAAGCGTATTCTTGGCTTCTGGTGGTTAGATGACACTAGTTGGACCCAGTGTGAAACATCCTAGATAGTTAGGTCTCTGTCCTTCCAGTAACTCGAGAGAGACAGGCTGAGCCTCCAGACTTACTGGAGAAGCAAAACTTGATAGCATATCTGAAACTCAGGTTCATTGTCTCCATCGCGGAGTTGGGAGAAGCTACCAGTAGCAGAAGCTCCATTCTTAAAGCTCTGTTCGCGAGGACAGGCTGGCAGAGCTTTCCAAGCCATCCTTTTTATAAACTTTAAAACTTACTGTACAACGTCTAGTTTGATCTTTTTATCTCTGAGTAATAATGTCAGAAAGTCCGAGTGATGGCTGTTCTTCTAAACCAGAACCAGGTATGTAGAGTTGAGGCTCACATGTGCAGTGGGATTTCTAGTGCGTGTGAGAGGGCACTAGAAATGGCAATCATTAGAAGTCAGCGGGACCGGTGTTTTGTTTGAGGTAATTCAACAAAGTTAAAGGGGGTTTTAATGTACTTAGAATGTGAAGAATTGGAGAGTATTTCAAACTATGGGACTATACAGAAAGAATATCGGTAGATAAATGGCACAGTGCAAACTGCTTGAAAGCAATTGACTATTTTCATTGTCTGATGTATCACCATTTTGATTTAAATAAGTGACTTTTGGTGGACGGGTTGGTGGCGATTCAGTTGCACTTATTTTTGCTTGTGGTCAGCCTATGTGAGTCTACATCCTGGTGGGTCTTAGAAGCTGGTTTGCATCTAGGTTTGTTACCTTGTATCCAGAAGAAGTTGTTCTAAGAATTTTCTAGAAATAATGGTCAGTTATAAGCCAAATTGCTCTCTTTAAGACATTTTAGAACAGCAAAACTTTAATTCCCTGTAAGACAAGAATCTTGATGTAGTTTTTAAGGTAATATTTCCTGACTCTGAGTCATAAGGTGTTGGATATATCAAGCAAACATTATCCTCCGAAATAACTATCCGGTCTGTGCTGGTTTTTTAGAAAATTCATAGAAATGATTAGTACACCAGGTAAACAGTCTTAAATATCTTAATCCTTTCCTTTGTTGCTAGGAGTCTTGGCTTACGAGCCTTTGTGCAATGAAGGGCACAGTAATTACCCAGCTAAGTGACCTTTAGTAATTCTGAAGTAATGACATAGTCTTTAAGGAGCCCGGGGCTCCAATATAAACACCTAAAAGAGGAGAGGAGTAAAGGGTAAGAGTGGGAGAGAGGTCAATGCTGAGAACTTCAGAATGGGCAGTCATTTTCAGAAAAGTTTAAGGAAGCTAACTGTTAACATGCCTCTCTGGGGCAGAGATTGGATAAAGTGATACTGGCTGAAATTTTTTAAAAACTGTTTAATGTGCTACATGGGATTATTATCACAATTCCAGGGGTACCCTCATTGGAGGAGTTATGTCTCAGACTGTACAGATAGCACTGAGTACATGTTGATGTTTTAGGTTGATTTTTTACTTTAATTGTAAAAAGCACATACCATAAAATGTACTGTCTTAACCATTGTTAAGTGTACAGTTCAGTAGTGCTAAGTATATTCGCTTTGTTGTACAGTAGATCTCCAGACCTTTTTCATCTTGCAAACCTGTTGAACAGGTTGCTTTTTATTGAAGTGGAGGTGAAGAGAAACTGACACAAAAGATGGTCACGAGCCATCAGCTCTCTGTGCCCAGCATTGTGCCTGGGGTTGGGGAGAAAGTGTTGTCCGGTGTCTCCAGCATAGTTTGTCACCTCCTGAATGGAACTCCTCTTTTCAGGGCAGGGTTGACCTGGGGCCACTCCGCTTAAGGGTCTGTGTCCTGTTTATAAAATGCAGATTTGTTTCCTTTTGTTCTGAAAATAGTTTAAAGCAGTTTACAAAAATGTGGTACAATATGGCCAAAGTACAGCCATAGCATGGTAACAGAAAAATGGTAGACTAATAACATAAAGGCAAGGGATAAAGTCTCTAGACACAAAGTGGTGGCTATTCAATTATAGGCTTTCTACTGGCCCAAGCAAAGGGGGGGGGGGGGGCGGGGGATGAAGAAATTATATAATACTGACCACTGTTAATTTTGAGGATATCATGAGGACTAAATGAGGTAAGGTATGTAAAAGCACATAAATAACTTGAGAAATATACCATATAACTTGGTGATTAGAAAGAATGAATAACTCTGAGGAAGCAAAATAAACCTAGAAAAATATTTGTGCTTTTCAGATTACAGATACAAAAAAGATGAGCTTTTCAAGAGACTAAAAGTTACCACCTTTGCCCAGCTGGTAAGTTTAATAATCTCCCACTGGAGTAAAACTTGTCTAATTTGTGCTGCTTTATGTGAGTATCTCTAAATTTGATTCTAGGTAATATTTGCAGTGGGGTTTCTTCTTGATTATTTATATTTTACCTGTGAGAGAATTAATTGGTATATGATGTGTATATTCATTGGAGGATGGTGTGAAATTTTTCTCTCTTCTTTGATAAGAATTTTATAAAGTAAAATGTACATTCTACTTTTAAATCATCAAATTTGTGGTTTAGGTTTTGTTTTTTTTCCTTGTCCATTTAATTTAATATTTAGAATCTAGAGTTCTGGACTCTGGATTGTTTGGACATTTTTCTCTGTGTAAACCAGGTGATCGCCCTTCGATGACTAAGTTCTTTTTCCAAGCCTTTCTTGGGCTATTTTTTTACTTTGGGAAAGTCACTTTATCCTTTCATTTGAAAATTACGGACCAAGTGTCTCTCTGGTACCCAAACAAGAGTTCCATTGATGTAACTCAAGATGGATCTTGGGTCTTATGAGCTAAATTTTTAAAACTGCTTCAAAATCTATATGTAAGGCCCTAGCCAGTTTGGCTCAGTGGACAGAGCCTGCGGACTGAAGCGTCCGGGGTTGGCAACCAATTGAGTCGTCTCTTCTTACATTGACGTTTCTGTCTGTCTGTCTCTCCCTCTCCCTTCCACTCTCTCTAAAATGAAATAAAAAAAAAACAATGGAAAAATACCCTCAGGTGAGGATAAAAAAAAAAATCTATATAGGTATACAATGCTATAATCAATGTACTCATAATTACATTTATTTCTTCCTTGCATGAAGAATTGCTGATACAATTTGTTATTATAAGTATTGTATTTTTAAGAAATAACATGTTAAAAAAGTATAACATATGTAATACTTTCAACAATAAAGATTTTTTTTAAAAAAAAGTAATAACATGTTATGTTGGGACCAGAATATATATGGGCGTAGTTTCATGTATATTGCTAGGTACTCTTATTCATATTTCTTGTCCTAAGTTACCCTTTTGGCCTTTGAAGTTTATTGTGCAGTGTCTTAAATGAACCCTTTTCTTCTGGAATGGTCCTCTGCAGTGTAATGACCACTCCCGGAGTAAGGAGACCCGAATGTTAGTCTCTAGTTGAGGACACTGACAGTTTCTTAAAACAAGAGATCTTTGATGTTCCCTGTCTTTTGTAAAAGACAGGCTTGCCTCTGTTTAAAGACAAACAAACATAGACCCATCTCCACATTTCATTCCTTTTTCTCTCAGGTCATCCAGGTTGCTTCCTTGTCAGATCAAACACTGGAAGTGACAGCTGAGGAGATTCAAAGACTGGAAGGTAATGAGAATTGAGGCTGCGGGAAAGTCACGGATTGACCGTTTGACTGAAGCGCTCGCCCTCTGCAGCTGCGTTCGCAGCGACTTGGGGCTTTGATGTACCTGTTTGTAATTAGATTGTTGCTCTCTGAGAAATGCTATCTGCTGCTTTAATTGTTAATTCTTACCTCTTAAAAAAAAGCCATCTGGTTTTCTGGCTCTAGCATTTGTAGTTTTAAATGTTTTAGATGTGTTTGATATACTAATTACTTTTTTTCAGCAGGTATTTTTAGTGTTTTCTATGTATGTACAAGCCACAGATTTAGGTGCTATGAGACTACAAAGATGAATAAAACCCAGCTCTACATACGTGGAGTTTGTAATCATGGGTGCACATGTGTTTGCATGTTGGGTGAGGAGAGTAATAGCAGAAACACCGAATCACTAACAGGGCAGAAATTTGTAATGGAGGACTGAAAGGAAGCTATCGTTTGTTGAATTCATGTATATTGCTAGATACTTCACCTCATGTTTTCTTATTTAATTTATTGCAAAAACTCTATAACAGCAGTTCTCAACCTGAGGGTCGCAACCCCTTTGGCGGTCGAACGACCCTTTCACAGGGGTCGCCTAAGACCATCGTGCATATCAGATATTTAGATTACGATTCAAACGGTAGCAACATTACAGTTACGAAGTAGCAACGAAAATAATTGTATGGTTGGGTCACAACATGAGGAGCTGTATTTAAAGGGCCAGAAGGCTGAGAACCACTGCTCTGAAAGAAGGTACCCTTTACCGATGAGAAGCCAAGCCCAGAGGTGCAGTGACTTGCTGACGGTGGTACAGCCAGTGTGTCTCCCATGGCAGCCAGTGTCTGCTGTGGGAGTGCCGGGGGAGGGGAGGTAGTTTCCAGTTAGAAAACAGGTAGACTTAAGGCTTCTGAACCAGCCCTTCCAGGTGAGGCTGTGGCTGGCCGAGGAGAGGCACCGAGAAGAAAAGGCTGAACACAGGCCCGGAGAGGAGAAAGGTCCCGGCGTGCCTGGGGAGGCACGAATCCAGTCTGGCTGTGGTCGGAGGGAGGAATAGGTGCCTGGTAGGAGATACGGCCAGAAAGATAGGTAGGCTCCAGGTTTCCTTTCTTAAATGCCGAGTCGAACGAAATAAAACCTCTTCGTTGTCCTCTCATGAAAGGCACACACAGAGCTAAGGTCTTTATTTTATCCTGAAGCGCTCAGCAATCAATGTGTGGCTGTTTATTGACGGAGAACGTGTTTTGTTAAGGTTGATGTAGGCCAGGAATTTGACTTCTGATTTCAAGACAAGTTTCTCAGGAAGTCTGAACACTGGGTTTGTGCAACTCAACTGTCATTTCCCTGGGCTTGTTTTTGTTAGCGAGGATAAAGGGAATCTGAAAAAGCCAGGAATTTATCTTTGACAGATGCCTCTCACACCGCAGAGAAAGAAGGGCTCTTTGTAATAGAGATAATTGAGTCTCCTCATACAAATACACCCAATTTTAACCTGGTTATATAAGTACCTGGATTGGGTCTTTTAATTCATTATAGAGATTGCAGCACCAGGACATATGGGCTCATGCAATTTTCTCTTCTGAGATGAATTTGCACAGCAAAATAGGCTCTTGTAAAATAGGACACCATAATGTGTGAGTAATATTAGTGTTTTTCTAGTGCTCCACACAGAATAATAACTCACTCAGGAATGCCTGTAGGACAGATTGTATCTGTTTGCATATTGACTATCTTTGAAGGATTACAAGATCTCCTTTTGTAATGTTTATTTTTTCCTGACTTAAAAGTATATTTTTAGAAAATTAGAAAACTGCAAAAAATATACAAAGAAAATTAAAATAACGAATAATCCCTGTTTTAAATTTTGTTGTCTATTTCCCCCCCCATCTAACTCCCACCCAAATCCATACTCTTCATATATAGTTTTGTATTATGCTGTTTCCCATTAACATTTTGTCATGCATACTTTCCCGTGTCATTACATAGACTCACAGAGCTTCAGTGTAAAGGTCGTGTGGTCATATAATGCCTATCCTTTGGACATACCATAATTTATTTAATTATTCTCCTATTCCTGGGGCAGTACAGTTTTTCTAATTTTTCACTTTTATAAAATAATGCTGTGGTGTAAATACATAAGTGCTTGTGTGGTTCTGATTATTTCCTGGAGATGAATCGCTACAGATGAACAAAGGGTAGACCTGTTTTGGAGGCGCTCAATGCTGATTCCACAGCCTCTCCGGAAGGTTCTACCTCTGCAGCCCACCGAGTGCAGGAGAAGACATGTTTCTCCCCATCCGAGCCAGTGTTAGCATGGTTTTATTTTGAATGTCTCTGATAGTGACAGTGAGCTGTGTGGGGTGTGTGTGTGTGTGTGTGTGTGTGTGTGTGTGTGTGTGTGTTTATTGGTCATACATATTTCTTTCGAGGATATTACAAATCCTTTCCCATTTTTTTCTAATGGAATGTTCATCTTTTACTTACTGTTTTATGAAAGCGTTATGTAATTATGATATCTTTTTACTTTGGAAACCAATACATCCTTGGAAATAAAGGAGAAAAATCTTTATTTGATGATTTGGAACAATTTCCAAGCTGTATTATCAAGTAAAAATAAAACAACAAAACGAAAGCCAAGGTGTAGAGCAGTATAAATAGTGTTCTCCTGGACATGTAAAAAGGGGAGGAAATAAAATATATGCAGAAGTATGTAGTTGTTTTATTTCTGGAAGGAGACATAAATATGTGAAGCTGGTTCCCTTGGGGGAGGAGGCCCGATGGCCGTGCATCTGGAATCGGAAGAAGGCTTCCTTTCCACATAAATTTATGTCGTTTGCATTTTTACCTTATACACATGAGCCTTTTTTTCAATTGAGGAGCTAGTTAATTTTTTTAAACTCTGTAAATTAAGTATATTAACCTTTTCTCATCCATATATGTTACAGGTATTTTTCCTAATTTGTTATTCACCTTTTAATTTTCTTTGTGTTGATTTTGACATATATGAGATTTGCATTTTTACATGATTAAATCAGCCATTCATGTTATGTTTTGTTTTATTGCTTTAGATTCACAAATTCTAAAATAAGATAAATTATTTACCTCTATTTTCTCCTACCAGCTTGCTTGTTAGTTTTGTTTTTGTTTTAATATCAATCTATCTGTTACATATATAGGGTGTTCCAAAAAAGTGTATGCACACTTTACCAGCTGATCATCACTTAATTTTCACTTCTTTTCAGGTTTAACTGATTTGAAATAATGGGTGAAGCCAGACTAAGCTTTGAACAAAGAAAATATATCCTAAAGTGCCACTAGACTTTTTTTATGGGGATACATAAAAGAAAGTTTACGGTACAAAGCCGGCAATAGTTGACAAATTGAGGGCACACAAATACTGAACAAAATGATTCTTAATATTTGTGATTTTATTGCTTCATGTTATCAGCGGTGTCTCGACCAAAATGGTCATCAGTTTGAAAACAGGCATTGACACACAAAAAAGTATTCATTTCTGTAACTTTCTTTAAATTTTTTAAATGAACTATATGTTAATAAACACTGACTTTATGATCATTCAAAATGTGTATACTTTTTTGGAGGAGACACCCTGTATTTTGGTATATGATGTGAAAGGTCAGCTAAACTTGATTTTTCTAGATAGTTGACAGATGATTTCAGCAGCATTTATTCAGTAGTTTTCCTTTATCAACTGATTTGTGATGCCACCTTGAACATATATTAGCTTCTTATATATATTCTAGGGTTTGTTTCTGTGTTCTTTATTGTATTCTATTGTTCTGGTTGTACTTCAGCATTGCTTTTATCATTTACCTTTTCAATATATGTTACTATTTGATGAATCAGGTTCTCTAAATTTTTATATATGTATGTATAATTTTTTTTTCTTCTTATAGGTAAAATCCTTTTAAACTTTTTTTGTCCCATTGGGATTTGTATTAAGGCCAAAAAATAAATCCAGAAAGGATTAAATCATTTAACTTTTAGTCACCCAGTCAGGACTATTCAATGTATGCCACTCTCTTTATTTAGGTTAATGTCCCTAAGTTAATTTTTATAAGGCCTATAAAGGACTTACAAGTTTTTACCAGATCTTTACATTTCTTAATTAGGTTTATTTTCTAGGTGAGTATGTTGTATATCTGTAATTGTTACTGTAAATGAGATCTTCATATTATTTTCTAATTGGTATATAGGAAAAATATTTTGTTAGTATTTATGTTTTTATCTAACCACCTAATTATTTTCCTTATGCTTATAGGAATCCCTTGAAGTTGCTCAGTAAATTATATCATATCCAAATTAAGATCTCATTTCTATTTCTTCTCTAATTATGCTGGTTAGAACAGTAAATTCTCAGACTTTTTGGTAATAATCTCCCTCCACACTATAACAATTATTGAGGACCTCAGAAAGTTTTGGTTTATGTAAATTATACCTATTAATATTTAGAGTATTACAATTTTAAACAGGACTTAAAAATATTGACTCACTATTTCACCCATTATAAACATAAATAACATATTTTTATGCAAAATAGCTATATTTCTAAAATAAAAAATTTTCTGAGAATGGAATTACTTACTTTTTTGGGTAAATCTCATTAATGTCTGATTTAATAGAAAACAGGTGATTCTCCTATCTTCTGTATTCAATGTGTTGCAATATGCTATTTGGGTTGAAGCATCTGAAGAAAATCTGGCATCACACAGACCTGTAGATATAAACAGTAGAGTGTTTTAATAGCCCTTTCCATTATTGTGGATATTTTTCTTTGATACAACACCAAAACAACCACCGATAGTTTCCTAAAGGTTAGTTGTAATGTAGAATCTGAAACCATATTAATGAATTTTTCACACTCTGTTACATTAAAAGCCATCGGTCTGTCTTGCGCTTTGAATGAATCTTTTATCCGTGTATGATTTTATAACATCATGCCTTGGTCGTGCGAAAATTATTGGTTCACTGAGTTATGAAGATCTTCCCAATGTTGACAAATTTCATTACACAGCATAAAAACAAACAAACACATTCATCAATCTCACCGCCTATCTTATCAGAAAAGGCATTAAGTATGGAGAAACAGTCAAGCTCCCGATGGTACATGGCTTCCAAAATTGTGATTTTTATTTAAAATGTAATCATTGCAACAAATGCCATCAGTTGTTTTCCTTGAAATGACAAGTTCACTTTTCACTTAGATCATTTTTTTTAATGTCTGCCAAATGCACACATCTAAGTAACCAGTTTTTCTCAGATTTTCTTCCAAGTAAAAATGGTGTTCATGGCAAAAGCAGCAACAATGAGACTAATGCTTTTCCTTGAGACAACCATGGGACTTGGGTATGTAGCAAACTGTCCGTATGCAATTCCCCATTTCATCACACAGAATATGAAAAAGGCGTGTACGTGAGGGTAAAATTTAATAAAGTTGTTCATTATTAGTGCGTCACCAGGGACGATTTTTAAGTGAGATTGCCATATTAACTGTGATTGCAGGTTGGTGCAAACAGGATGATTGCTAATAAAACTTAGCACCATGACCCTGGCTCTTGCTAAGGCACTAGCAGTGTTATCCACCATTTTATTTGCACCACCAGGGCAAATAACACAGTAAAAAAGATAAATAACATCTCAGCATCATTATGAAAACAATCTTTACCTTGTAGATCCCCTGAAAGGGCCTTGGGGACTCCTGGGGTCCACAGGTGGCATTTTGAGAACCTATATACCTAATTTGAGAATTTATAGAACAATTTAAATAAGGTGATGTGCGCTCCTTTTCTTGACCTAATTTCAGTGGCCCTGCCTGATAAGTAAATACAGATTCTACGATTAAATGTACTTATTTCTTTATTTGCATGTTTTAGACAATGATTCTGCGACTTCAGACCCTGATGCTGAAGTCACTGCCAGGACCAATGGGAAGGGGAGCCCCGATGAGCAGCCGCCGAGCCCTGTCCAGTTCATAAATAGCGTGGGAGCGGGGGACTCCAGTCGCTCGACACTCCAGAGGTACTCCAATCGGATCCGTGCTTCCCCTGCATCTTGCCTTCCTATCAGGCGAGAGACCGATTTCAGTGGCTTAATTACCTCAGGAACAGACTGGCAATGGTGAAGCCCCACATTCTCACCCAGCCCTCTACTTTCTCTCTGGGTGAGACCTGTGGGTCCTCGCCTTGGGGCCCAGTGAGATGAATGCCTCCCCCTGAGTCTTCCCACAGCATCCTCTGTCGGTGAGTGTCAGACTATGTTGTTGGGTGAGCATTAATTTTCACACCTTGCTTCCACTCTTCTCGGCCCTCCGCATGCACGTTTGCTATCAGGACCTGGCTTTACAACTACTGTCTTTTGACTCAGAGAGCATGCTTCCCTTTGCCTTTTCTGCCTGTTGCCCCTTATAAGTACCCTGACTCGAATCAGAAGGAAAGTGGAGAGGCACACCCAGGGCTCTGCTATCACGTAGGTGCAAAGAGGAGTGAGAGCAGCCCTCGGTGTCGATCCTCCAGCTGCACGTGGCTGGTCCTTCTTCCATACACTGTGACGCCTCACTTTCCCACAAATATTAACTGTTGATTATAAGACAGTGCTAATTTTTGGCACATACTCATCCCTCCTACTGGTAAAATAGTCCAACTAGTGAAAGAATTGCTATCATCTATACCACTATTATTATTTTTATTAACTACTTTTGTGCAAGGACTCAAATTGCTTTCAAAACAAAATAGACCAACGAGACTACCATTGAGGATAGAATTTCTTCTCCTGTGGTTCAACAAAATATGCTCTACATGGCATAAGTTATAATGCTTATCAGATTTAAATGCAGAATTGGACTTGCTGTGATGGGGAGGAACTATATACTGCATGTCAGTCTGTGGTTTGGCATACATGTCTTCATATTTGCCAGGAAAATAATCATCTTCTCATAGCGACGCTCCACTCCTTGCCATTTTGTTCATAACACCTACTGCTCTTATTCCTTTGATCCATGCTTTAACCCCATTTTGCCTAAAATATTAATATGGTGACCAATTTTAGTGATTTTATGACCTTAAAATAGAACTGTCAGTGGTGAACTCATTTTAATCTTAGCTTTTCCTGTGTCTGATTCTATGAGTGTCACCAAATCTAAAAGCCTCTTCAACCTCAACATCATAAACTATAAAATGGAAGTAAGTCCGCATAACTACTAAAAACAGTCAGGTTCAAAATCCAGATTGGATAGACTCAATGAATAAATTAAAGCGTTGCTGTTACTTTCCGTTACATGTAGAGAGGCCTTCGTTTAACCTGCCCCATCAGCCTCATTCTTTCCCCTTTTGCTCTGCTCTCTTACGCCCCTCAAAATTCCATTGGATTGATTGTTCGCCGCCCCTTTCCCTGAATGCGGCCCTGATTGCTGGAGGCGGCACGCACCCTGCAGCTTCTCCCCCTCAGCCAGGCTAATGGCCTAGCGCACACTGTCGGGAGGTAAGTGGGGACCTGTGGGTCCTCGCCTTGGGGCCCAGTGAGATAAAATAGGAACCACAGGATCTTGTATTCAGAAGCAGGACTGAGACACTATACCCATTTTCCTTTTGCTTTGCAGTGTCTTTTGAAAAGACACTGAGCTCTCTCTCGCTGTTCTGAAGAAAAGCATCTGACCTTTAAGACTAGTTGCTGCTGACCTACTTTTCCACTTGCAGCGTCATCAGTGGTGTTGGAGAACTGGACCTAGACAAAGGGCTGGCGAAGAAAGCAGAGCCCAGCAGCAGAGACACGCCGTACCCCGACTGCCCCTTCCTGCTGCTGGATGTGCGTGACAGAGACTCGTACCGGCAGTGCCACATCGTCGGAGGTAAGAGAGGGGCGGCCCACAGTGCCTCCTCCCACAGCGCCGCCCATTCGTGCATCCGGGCCCCCTGACCACATCCCACGGTCAACAGTTAAGGGACCATATGCTAGCCCCGTCCATGGTGAGTTGGCTTTCCCAAAATGCTCTGAGACAGGCCAATGACGTGCTCCCGGGGCTCAGGGCCCAGGGCTAACGTCAGATACAGTCAAGTAAAGCTTCATATTTTGTTTATAGTGTCCTGTTTCTTTTCTTTCACAAAAGTTTTTAGGTTTATGGCTTGTTGATTTTGAAAATATATTTCTTTAAGCTCTTAGTGAGACTTTAGACCCACTGGGGGGCGGGGTCAAGTTGTACTAGGAAAGCTACAAACTTCCTAATTTTCCTTTCTTTACAGCTTACAGTTACCCAATTGCAACTCTGTCTAGAACAATGAACCCTTATTCAAATGATATTCTTGAATATGTATCCTTTGTTGCATTTTAAGGAGTTGGGTGAGGATGAGGTTTGTAATAATCAAACTTACCAGGAAAACTCTGTGAAGGACTTTTGATACACCACTTGATCTTAGCCAAAAGGCCGGGAAGCAATGCGTCAATGACTTTTTATAGTAATTAGCTTATTTTGGCATATTTTAGAATTTGGATTCTTAGCTGTTACTGAATATGCTGACTATGATTGCAGATGGTTCCAAGCCATACTGCACTGGGCTGAAGAACATCAGGTTAAAGTCTATGATCCATTAAGAGTTAGCTGTCCTGGCGGGTGTGGCTCAGTTGGTTGGGCATTGTCCTGTGCACCGAAAGGTTCCAGGTTCGATTCCCAGTCAGGGCATATCCCCAGTTGTGAGCTTGTTCCCTGGCGGGAGCAAGCAGTAGTTAGCCAATGGTTGTTTTGCTCTCACATTGATGTTTCTCTCTCTCTCTCTCTCTCTCTCTCTCTCCTTCTCTCACAAAAGAGTCCTAAGACGTTTTTCCCCCCAGAAAGCTTTCCCAGGTAAAACTTATGAAGTAAATTTTCTTCCTTCTATTTTAACTTTTTTCTTCTTAAAATTTTAATATTTTTGCTCCTAAAAATCATACAAGTAGAAAATAATTTAAATATTAAAATATGTGAGAAAAAATTGAAATCTTTGATAATCACCCATTTGAACAACTCTTATTACATTTTTTGTATATTTTACTCCAGACTGTCTTCTATGTATGTTTTAACAAAGTGGAAATCATACTGTATATATAATTTAGTGTCTTGCTTTTTCCGCACTTGATATTACAGTTACTTTGTCACACTAACACACGGTCTTTATAAACTCCATTTTTGATATAGTGTAAATGTCTTCAGATGTACTATAATTTACTAAAATGTTCCGCTTTATTGTACTTTTTTTTTTACTATTATAAACAAGGCTGCATTAGAGTATATTGAACATAAAAGTTTTTCTACTTCCTTGCCTATAGAATGGACATGTAATACTTATTCTCCAGGGTTGTGATGATAACAGAGCTAAAGGGTGTGTAGTGTACCTAGTGCGCCTTGGACCAGGGCACTGTTAGTTTATAAGAGAAGAGAATACCGGCTCGAGCGGGTTCCATGACAGGAAGAATCTAGTAACTGCCAGTGTGATGGGTAAAGAGAGGGCCCGTCTGGCATTCCCCTGAGTTCAGAAAGGTGAACTTAAACAGCTCTCTGTTCCTTGGGGGTTTCTTGTAGTCTAGAAGCATTAACTCAGTGTGGTCAAACCTTAACTCGTCCGACTCTTAGAAAAATGCTCACGGCAAGATCATCATTCTGTATGACGACGACGAGAGGCTGGCCAGCCAGGCGGCCACCACCATGTGCGAGCGGGGGTTCGAAAACCTCTTCATGCTTTCCGGAGGTGAGCGAGCGGGGCTGTGTTCTGCTCTGGGCTTTAAAGGCTGAAATCGGGGCTCGCAGTCCTTCACCCCCACGTCAGCCCCTCTTTCCTGGGAGAGGTCAGGATTTAGCACAGGCGTTCCTCGGACACACGCAGATCACCACTACCAAGCAAGTATCCCAGCAAAGCGAGTCATAACCTTTTTGCTGGTAGAGGGTCTTGCCTTCAGTTTGTAAAAAATAAAAATAAATAAAAATACATCTGTGAAGTGCAGTGAAGCGCAGCGCAATAGACCCAGGGCTGCCTGTGCTTTGGAAAGAGAGAGCCGTGCGGCTGAAAGGAGGCAGTTCTGTGAAACCTCCCTGCACTTTATCGGCGCATGTTTTAAATTCCTGAAATACTGACATTGCATCAGGGCTCTGCGAGAAAGCTTTGATGCTGAGCACTTACGCAGAAGGATTTCTGGGGGAATTCTCAGAATCCCACATAACAAGCGACATTTTCTGGTGTAATTTTCGTAATGGTGAAGCAGTGGAGAGAGATTTCGCGTCCTGGTGCCGGGCTCGACTTGGAAGCCAGGGATGAGGAGCCATGCAGGCTCCTTGGCAGGTTTCGCCTTGGCCTCACAGTGGTGACGCTGCTTCCTCTCTGATCTCCCACACCCAGGTCTCAAAGTCTTAGCTCAGAAATTCCCAGAAGGACTGATTACGGGTTCCCTGCCTGCATCTTGCCAGCAAGCCCTTCCTCCTGGTTCTGCCCGGAAACGACCCAGCCCCAAAGTGCCACCCGCACCGGCTGAGAATAAGTGGAGATTTACCCCAGAAGACCTAAAACAGATAGAATATTACCTGGAAGAGGAGCAGGGTCCGACAGACAACCTCAGTAAGATCTTTTGACCTTTAGAGATAACACTTTCTGTCGAGCTTGAGATTTGTGATCCCTTGTAATATATTCAGAGTCTTCCAATATTTTGGAAGGGTACAGGAGCGATGCAGGGAGGGGGGCAAGTGGAGGTGATGCGAGATTGTGGCAAGAATTGGGCACTGTGCACAGAGAAGAGAGAAGAGACTTTATCGACATGTGTGTCTCAGGCAGAGTTGAGAGGCCAACCTGAAGCATCCAGATTCCTTCTTGGAAAGTCTCCATGTCCTTCTGTTGCTTCTAGGCACACAGACCACTTCAGGCCTTTCCTCTGCACACTGCTTCCTCTTCTCTGTCCTCTCATCGCTCCTGCTCAGGAACCAGCCTCCAAACTTCTCTGCCGAGAAGGAAGGTGGCACAGGCTAGCTTGGCTGGGTTGCCTTTCATCCCTGCCCTTTTCCCCACCGTTAAGTTGGTCACAAGGATAAACAGTAGGTTTTAGCCTTAAGTGAATGCTGAATAGGACTTGATTAGCTTCAAAGTGGTTGTAGCGTAAGACTTCATTCGTTTCAAAGTGTACTTGGCAAATTGTCCCTGGGACCATGCTTGCAGCTCTCTCCTTGCTTCCTTGCTCCCTCAGGCCGGCTGAGCCACGCTAACGCCTCCGCAAGAGACTCCAAGGTCCCCGGCACCCGCAGTGCTCAGAACCTGTCCAGTGGGGGCCCTGCCAGCCACGCGAACCCCCGCTCTCAAGGCAGCGGCCACCTGCAAGGCAAACCCTGGAAGTAAAGACTCTGTCTGTCCCACTCAAATAAATGTTTTCTCTGCTTGCGGACCCCTGAGCAGTTCCCCAGCTGGTCCTTTTCAGACCAGGACACGCGTGATAGGCCCCTGCCCTCTTCCTCTCCAGCTCCAGAAGGGTTTGTACACGAACCAGAGGCAGCACAGGCTCGTGTCCACCCGTCATCCACACCATATTCACGTCTCTGGAACTGAGTAGGAAGAAAGGGTCTCTGGGGGTAGGGGTGGGGCGGGGGAGGGGGGCTGTCGTGTTTGTAATAGGACCCAGCTTGTTTGGGTGTGTATCCCGTGCTGTTGTGTAAATACTTCAGTCATATCTGGGGTGTTCTTCCCACCCAGTTCTTTTCCACTCACGTTCCTGGTTTCGTGGAGGCTGTCCAGAGAGGCCGTGCTGCCTGAGAAGCTGGCCCTGGGGTGCGGGTGACTCTTGGCTCCCAGCCTCCCCAGAGCCCCCAGGGGAGGGCCGCAGGTCGAGGCGCTCTTCCCAGCGCAGATACGGGCTCTGTGATGAGTTTGGAGGCTGGTTCCGCCAGCATCGCTCCATTTTAAGGTTCAGTGCAGCAGCTCTCACACTTCCTGGACGTTCCTCCTCGAGGCACGCTTCCCAGAGCCAGCGCCGGTGGTGGTGTGTGCTCAGTGCCTTCACCGGACACGGCCTCCCAGAAAGCCCGGCTGTCTGTGTGCAGGGCTGCCCCTCGCTGGTGTCTCTGTTAGGAATTTCCATCACCCAGCTCGGGCCCATCCCGCCTTAGATGGGCAGAAATCATGGCCACTTGTGCACATCAGCCCTGAGCGGGCCGCCGAGGGCACACAGGTGAAGGCGCCTCCATGGTCCTTTGTCAGAGCTGACAGCCCCTTAAGCCCTCGCTTAAAATACAGTATTAGTCTAATTGAGTAATTAGTGCAATTTCCTACTTACTTTTCATTCTCATGGCTGAGCTGTGATTAGGAGGTTGTGATTATAGATTCTGGTTTGGGCCAGAATTTTGAATCAGCATTAATTGAATTGCTAGATGACTGACATTCATTCCATTTAATTGGGGGAACAAAAGACCTCAGGTAAGGATGAGGAACTCTGAAATCATCAGGAAAAGGAAAAGAGCCTTGTTAATTTTTATGGTCTGTGATCTGTAGCTGCGATAAGGAACTGAGGAATAAATTGTGCTTTTTGTCATGGCAACCAGCTTCTGAAAAGCCAGCTGAAAATTGCCTATCCTTAGGTGGTTACTGCTGCTGGGTAAGATTCGCCTTAACGGCACTATTTTCTCGCCATCAAAAAAAAAAAAAGAAAAAGAAAAAAGTACCACAGTATTTCTAGCAAGGGGGCTGTGTTTGTAAGAGAAGTAAAGGTAATAAATATCGCATAGATTCACATGGAAAAGGAACTTTCCGATTCAGCCCAGTTCTGTTGCAGGATGTTTATTCCTCTCTACTTGATTCCAAAGTATAACATTTTCCAATGCTTTAGAAATCAAACAAACCAGCGACATTGTTCAGATGTCAAGCCGTGCCCAGTTTTCCACAAGAGTCAAGAATCTTGTATAAAATCCAGCCAACGTACACATAGCTTTAATGAGGAGCCTGTCATGTTTCCCCATAAATTTATTGCCTGAGAACTAGTGCGGCCTGTTGCTAATGCCAAAATGCTCTGGCTTCTTATTTTCTTTACAACATACATTTTTTTTAATGCAAATTTTTCCACACTCAACTTTCCCCTAGCACGGACAAGATTTTCAGCCTTTTTGACACACATACATTTTTAAGAAGAAAAAAAAAAACCACTGTTTTCTCTGTGACAAAGTTCTGGTTATGCCATTTTAAAGGTGACTAGTCAGGAGTTTAGGTTTCCCCACTCGATTCTATTTTAGAGTAAATGGTAGCCCCCCTGTCTTCCTATTCTGCATCCCCAGCACCCGACGACACTCGAGTGTTGGAAACTACTGTATATACGTGGAAAGTCAGGTTAGCCAAACCCGTCAGAACTGCTGTGCGTTTCGCCGAGCTGTCTGACAGGCTGTGTGTGTGTGTGTCGCTCCCTACAGTGCTTTGCCCTGTTGGTAAGGATTGCGAGTCGCTGTTCCTAAAGACCCGTTCTGGCGCTGCACTGCGGGTGTTAAGCGGCACTCGCAGCCTTTCCATGCTCCAGGTGTTGCTTTGAATGTCTGACTTTACTCGTTCTGCGTTAGGTTAACCGACATGTATTATTTAAGTGATCAGTGATACTCTGTGCAATGATGGATGTTGAATATTAAAGTGCGTAGTTATTAATCTGTTGTTTGCTATTGATATGCTGACCTCTGCCAAATTCTCCCTTCCTCTCTGGTGAGATGATTTTGGGGAGCCATGTGAGACTGGGGATATTTGTATAAATAAATCAGGAACCATTCCGGTGAGGGCAGGGGACGTCAGCTCTCCAGTCAGAGGCCTGGGTGTCATGCTCAGACAGGGACTAATGGCCACCTTAAACACATGACAGCAGGGCTTTACTGCAGTGTTTCAGGGGTTGACGAGATGCCCTGGGCTCGCGACCCCCTAAATGGAGGGTGCTTTATCAGTGCACAGCTACAGTCCATCTGCGCAGCAGTGAGGGCCCAAGTCTAAATAATACGTTCAATGCTATAAAGCAGCGGTTCTCAACCTGTGGGTCGCAACCCCTTTGGGGGTCGAACGACCCTTTCACAGGGGTCGCCTAAGACCATCGGAAAACACATATATAATTACATATTGTTTTTGTGATTAATCGGTATGCTTTAATTATGTTCAATCTGTAACAATGAAAATACATCCTGCATATCAGATATTTACATTACGATTCATAACAGTAGCAAAATTACAGTTATGAAGTAGCAACAAAAATAATTTTATGGTTGGGGGTCACCACAACATGAGGAACTGTATTAAAGGGTCACGGCATGAGGAAGGTTGAGAACTACTGCTCTAAAGGGTTATGTATTTAAGAAAGAAAGAGGGGAAGGAAGGGGAGAGGCAAGGAGGCAAGAAGTGGGGCGGGAGGGAAAAGCTGCGTTACTCATTCAAAAACAAAAAGAACAATCTTGGGCTGTAATAATGTCAGATTTAATCTAGTGAAAGGTAAAGAATGATTCAAATATCCTTAAAGTCATTTTATTTTTTCCCTTGAGTGGAAAGCCAGAACCAGCACAATCATATTGGACTTGGTGTAAATCAGAATGAAAAGAGGACAAACAATGCTCATTAGTTGCTGAGGGATTTTTCCTATGGTGCTATTGAGACCAGAAAAAAATTCTTTAGACTTTAGGCTACTCACCAAGAACACAGTCCAAAACAAAGCCTCCTTTTCTCAAATTCCCTTCTAGAATATAAGGGGAATCAGAGTCCTAGACTAGGAAGAAATATGGAGGTAATTTTTCTTGTTTGGTTTTGGCTCCTGTCATGTTATTTATGGGTTATAGATTCTGTCTTTTGTGTTATCTGACTTTTTTAAGGGAGATAATTAATTTCTGTCCACCTGGATTTAAATCCGTGGCTCCCTTCTTGCTCTACTCTGAAGATAATCATGAAGAACCTTTCTTTTCCCAGTTCCAGAATGTTCTCAGTGTATTTTGTGTGCCTTTGTTTTCTTCACAATTCTTTTCCAAGATGTAACTCCATAATACTTTCTTTTTTTTCCCAAGGAACATCAGAAACATGGATTCTAATTCATCAGTTTGGTTATGTGAGCATGATGACATGCTTACATGCAGTTCAATTACTTTTTTGATTAGCAAATATATTTTCCTCATAAAAACAGTAAATAAAACAGGCTGTGCTTGCAAAGTATTCAAAATACATTTTGCTAGCAATTCTTTCCCACAATTGTAGTAATTATTGAAATTGTCTATTGTGGTGTTCTTAAATTGGTACACAGGTCAATTATAGCATAAAATATGTAACGGAAATTTCTCAGCATTGAATTCTGGCAGAACAGGATTCAGTGCATGGTTTTATGTGTTTACAAAACTCTGTTGGTCACGCCACCATCCCGATGGCCTCCCTCTCTGATGCTGATCCTCTTTGTTCCAAATGCAGCAGCAGATTCTTCTCACGTGTGCAACATCCCCAGGCGCTTGGTAAAATGTGGGGCAAACAGAGGTCATTTACCAGATGCTGTTACCTGGTGGGCTACATTTTTTTAATTATTTGAAATTTTATTTTGACTATAAGCTCCTAGAGGGTGAAAATCACCAACTAGATGACAGTGGCCCTTAATCAGGGTGTGTGACCAAGTGAATGGAACCTGTCAAGTCTGAAGTCTGGGATGTGAGGCCCATTGTGGGGCGACTCAATGCTGGCCCGCCATTCTGGACATCCGGGAAGCGCTTTCTCTTTCATCCCCTTGTGCACGTCCTGCTTTTGTGGGAGAGGCATTCACAACCCTGAGGTTTTTAGATTACCCTCTGCAGGAGGCCCCGGAGAGCTGTGAGGGCCTCATTATTCCCTGCTGTCTGCAGTCTGCCTTCAGCATTCACCGAATGTGGGTCCCACTCCATCCCCAGCTGAGAGTGAGCTATGTTCTCTCTCTTATTTCAAATCTTGAAGATGTCCAGACAGTCATCCTAGCAGACACTGATGGAGAGCTGACTCTGTGTCGGGCAGTGTTTCCAGAGCCTTTGTTTTATGTTTTGGCTCATTTAGTTCTCACAGCAGTCCCGCGAGGTAGGCACTGTCATTTTCAGGTAGGAGACTGAGGGTGGCGTGGAAACGAAGCAACTCGCCCCGCCTCACTGAGCTAGAAGGTGGGGAGGACAGGACCCAGCTGGAGGACTGTGGCTCCAGAGCAGGTCCATCAGCTGGGCACAATCACACTCTCCTCGCCAGGCCTCCGATTTACCGATGAGAATGTAACCTCCCCTGGCTGCTGGCTTCCCCGCCTCACCTGGGACTCCACAGGAAGCAACCCTCCTCCGCGGCGCCAAAGGCGAGGGAAGTTCAGGAACCGACATCTGCTCCCTGGACTCTGTGTCTCTGCATTTCCGCCATCGGTGTCTGGGGACCCGTCCTGAAGACAGGTGTTCCAACCTTTCTGGGGTTTGTTTAGTTTCTTAGTGAACACCTACTGAGGTGTCACTTAAGGAATGAGTTACAAACTTTTCATTAGATTGTAGGCAGAAAATAGGCCGTTTTCCCAAGAAGTCCAACTGTTCATTCAATAAACCATATTGATACGATTTGTGCCTGGTCTTTTCTCTCCTTTGTGGTGATGTTTCTGATTGAGGTTGAGACAGAAATGATGTGAACTGGCTCAGGGCCTGAGGCCTGGGCGGGAGGAAGCAGCAGCAGCGCTCTGTGCCCCCTGAAGGGTGTTAGCAGAGACGTTCACTGCACTCTCCCGAAATGCAGCTGAGCCGCTGCCCGGGCTAAGCAGAAGACTTTTCGTTTTCTTCTTTCAGTTTGGCAAGAAACATCGGGCAGCGTCCGTCTCTGGGGCTGTTAAATGATGCTCGCGGTTTGCGTTCCCAGTTTAATGCGGATCCTGAAAGCTTTGGGGAGCATTCCTTACCCTTTGACAGTTGCTCAGAGTTCACGGGTGTCCTGTGCTTTTTTTCTCAGAGCTCCTCCTTCAGCCGGCCCATCTAAATGTTGCAGTTGGTCATATCAGCTTCCTGAAAGTAGCATCTGGGTCTTAGTGTGTTCACAGAAGGATGTTTCTGTCCTTTGAGTCCTGAGAGCAAGAGCCCATTTGCATCTTCAAATCCACCTAGTCCCACTCACCCTTGCAAAACAATTGCTGAGATGATGAATAGCCGGCACTGGACGAGGGACCAGTGAGGTCATTTCTGGATTGCATTCAGTGGCATTTCAATTTTAACTTCAGGCCAAAGCCAGAAAGCTAGACGTGTGTGTGTGTGTGTGTGTGAGTGTTAGTTCAGAGACCACCCGAAGGGTTCTCACGGACCACCAGTGACTCACTGGCCATATATAATGGGCTAAGAAAAAAGTAAAATGAGTTCATTGAAAAATAAGGAATTGTGAAAAGTTTTAGAGACTAAGCATAATCAATTGCCCTCGTCAGTTCCCCAGAAGCTAGGGGAACAGAATCTGAGCAGGAGGAGCTCTTGGGGGTTTTCCTCTGAGCTACGGCAGTGCTTCAGGGAATGGTCCCCAACTGGAGGCATGAGTAACCCTTTCTCTTCCTAAAAACTGCTGCTTCCAGCTCTATCTGGAGTGTAAATTTTTCCAAAGATAAGACAATTGCATTGTTCCGGGCAATTGATGGTGGAATATGATGCCAGAGTAGAAGAAATGACAAATTATAAAAAAGAATCTGGGCTCAAATGTATTACTTATTTTTTGTTGTTAATCCTCACTTGAGGATATTTTTTCCATTGGTTTTTAGAGAGGGTGGAAGGGATGGAAGGAGGGGGAGAGAAGGGAGAGATTGAACATGCAACCCAAGCATGTGCCTGACCAGGAATCGAACCCATGACCCTTCGGTCCATGGGCCAACGCTCTAACCACTGAGCAACACCAGTCAGGGCTGGGCTCAAATGTAGATGGCTATTGACATGTTTGATGTTGATACTAGAGAACTTTATCCGTGGGTTATATTGTGTGTTTGAAACAGCACCCCCCTGACCCCCATTATTAAAGTTCATTGCAAGAAAGTCAGAAAAGTTTAAAGAGGAAAACCACCACCACTACCCATTTAAAATATGTAATTCAGTGTTACAGTAAATTTGCAGAGTTGTGCAACCATACGCAGTCCTGTTTTAGAACATTTCCATGGCATGGCTGGCTTCTTCCACTCGGGATGTTGTGACCATTTTCCCACATCAACATAGACCTCGGTGGCTTCACGATACTCCGTGTATAAACCTGTCACATGCGCATCAATACTGTTATCTACTTAGGTTCTTTTTCTTTTTATTTAAATTTTTATTATTGCAACCATGTACATACATGTATTTGAAATTATCTGAATATTTTAATAAAATTATTCCAAGTGGACTTCTGGGTCAAAGGGGCGATGCATTGAAAACTTTTACCCACATTGCCAATTTGCCCTCCAGGAAGGAGTGTAAATTTATCCTCCCACCAGTAGGATAAGACAGTCTTATTTCTTCATACCCTTGTTGGTCTTTTTATTCTTTGTCAATCATGGGAGAAAATAATATATTTGTTTTTCTTTATTGGCCAAAAGATTTCTCAGAGGATCAGTATCTTTCATACATTTATTGGCTTTTTGTGTTTCTTCTTTTGGGAATTGCCTATTTTTCTTTTGAAATATTAGTCTATTTTTTGAACTGCTTTTACTTATAAGAGCTCTTTTCCCCTCAAGGTTATTAATGCTTTTTCATAGGTGGTACAATACTTTCTAAAATTATTGCTTCTTTAAGCTTTTGTGCTTTTATTTATAAAATAAAAAATTTCACCAATAGATTTTTAAAAATATGTATCTGCAAACAAAATGTAATGCTCTTCCTACATTTAAAATATAAAACAGGGGTCCTCAAACTTTTTAAACAGGGGGGCAGTTCACTGTCCCTCAGACCGTTGGAGGGCCGGACGATAGTTTAAAAAAAAACTATGAACAAATTCCCATGCACACAGCGGCGGCAAAACACCCGGTGGGCCGGATAAATGTTTTTGGCGGGCCGCATGTGGCCCGTGGGCCGTAGATTGAGGACCCCTGATATAAAAGAAAAGTATTAATGACTTCTGTGTCTCCATTTAACAGGCATTTATTAAGTCCCTACTATGTGCCAGGCACTTGGCCAACCAGTAGGGATTAAGTATTAACAAGAACAATGCAATCCCTGCCCTCATGGAATTTTCATTCTAGTGCTTCATTCTTTGTCTTTTCCTTTTCCTTTTTTTTTTTTTTTTTTTTTTGGAATGCAACAACTTTATTGAAAGAAAAGTGCAATTTAAATTGGTTGGAAGCTTAAAAGGGATTAACTTAGACACCCCCTCTCAGGCGCAGGACCAGGTGCAGAGTGGACTCTTTCTGGATGTTGTAGTCGGACAGGGTGCGCCCGTCTTCCAGCTGCTTGCCGGCGAAGATCAGCCGCTGCTGGTCTGGGGGGATGCCCTCTTTGTCTTGGATCTTGGCCTTGACATTCTCGATGGTGTCACTGGGCTCGACCTCGAGGGTGATGGTCTTGCCGGTCAAGGTCTTCACGAAGATCTGCATCCCACCTCTCAGGCGCAGGACCAGGTGCAGAGTGGACTCTTTCTGGATGTTGTAGTCGGACAGGGTGCGCCCGTCTTCCAGCTGCTTGCCGGCGAAGATCAGCCGCTGCTGGTCAGGGGGGATGCCCTCTTTGTCTTGGATCTTGGCCTTGACATTCTCGATGGTGTCACTGGGCTCGACCTCGAGGGTGATGGTCTTGCCGGTCAAGGTCTTCACGAAGATCTGCATTGTCAAGGGCGGTGAAGGAGGCTGCGAGCGAAGAGAACGACGACTGTGTTCCGACGACCGGGAATACCTTTTCCTTTTCCTTGACTCTTGCTCAGAGCCTTACTTTCTAAATTACACCTTGGAGAATTCAAAATAACTTGCAAGCCTATACTAGACAGATTATAAAATTCATGAGTTCATTAGAAAAAGTGGAGAACATTCATTCCACAAATATATATTGGACATCTGTATATCAAATACTATTGATGGTTTTGGAAATTGAATGTCAAAATGTTTCCTACTATTAGGAAGCACAGTGTGTGTGTGTGTGTGTGTGTGTGTGTGTGTGTGTGTGTATGTGTGTGTTTAATATATATTTTTTTTATTTCAGAGAGGAAAGGAGAGGGAGAAAGAGATAGAAACATCAATGATGAGGGAGAATCATTGATCAGCTACCTTCTGTGTGCCCCCTACTGGGGATCAAGCACACAACCTGGGCATGTGCCCTGACCGGGAATTGAGCTGTGACCTCCTGGTTCATAGGCTGACACTCAACCACTGAACCACACAGGCCAGGCAGGGAGCACAGTTTTAAATTAAGCAATTTGACCCCTTGAAATCTAAGTAATCCAGTTTTGTAAAATGACATATTTTCTTACTGACAGTATTTTTTCACTTATGTCTTTATTAAACAAAAAGATCAGCTTTTCACTTGTGCAAATTGAACCATTAAAATGGGTTTCAGCTTATCTTCATAGATTGAAGGAAAATGTTTCCCAAAAGATAACTTGAAGGAAGTGTTTAAAATCTTTAGGTCATGTTTCTATAAAGGCTAAAACACTATTTTACCTTGCCTCCTATAAGTTTACGTATATTGTATATATGGTCAGTTTTATTCTTTTTTATTTTTTAATTTGTTTGGCAGCAAAAAACCCAAACACATATATTTAAAAAAAACAACCTTCAAGATGAAAATTCCCCAAGGGTCCCTTAAAAAAAGGCATTTTACCTTTAGGCCATGTTATGTGGGAAAAGACAAGGCTGTTAAGTCAGTGGAGCTGTAAGCATTGTGACAACCCAACCCGGCTGATACAGGAAGAGGCTGCCACCCCCACCCCCTCCCCCACTGTTTGGGGAGCTACCAATCCATCCCACCCACTTCCCAGTGACTTCTGTAGGAAGCCATCTTAGTTGAATAGAAACTAGGGCCACGTGAAAGCATGGGCTTCATTTGGGATGTTGGAGTAACCCCCTGCTCCACAGTCACATCGTAAGAGATTTGAAGAAAACAATGTAGATTCTTGCTTTGAAAAAGAGATTGCGGTACCCTATATATTGTTGTGCTAGCCACTAATGAGATATCACAGCCATCAGAATCAGCAAGCCAAACGAGGGAAGGCAAGTTCTAGGTTCTGTGGAGGGTATGCAGAGGAGAGCCTTATGTTTGAGAACGTTTGTGAATGAATGTTCAGGAGTGGTGGTGGGTGGGACAGGAAAGGGTGTGGAGACCATGGACCAAAAGATCCTGGAAAGGCTGTGCAAATGTAAGGGAAACTACTTCTGTCCCTAAAGGCAGTCTTCATGATAAACCACAATTAATAAAATGTCCTGGGCCTGGCTGGCATGGCTCAGTGGTTGAGCATCAACCACAAACCAGGAGGTCACAGTTCAATTCCTGGTCAGGGCACATGCCCAGGTTGAGGGCTCGATCCCCAGAGTGGGGCGTGCAGGAGGCAGCCGGCCAGTGATACGCTCTCATCGTTGCTGTTTCTATCTCTCTCTCCCTCTCCCGCTCTGAAATCAATAAAAAAATATATATATATTTTAAATGTCCTGGGATTGGTGTTCATCTTCAGAAAATGATTCCGTTTAAGCTAATTGCTCCCTCCCAATTTCATTCAGGAGTGGGAGACCATATTTGCTTTACAGAAATTTGCTTTGCCTGGCTGCAACATCTATTTGGGGCAGCAGTGGCCACCCGATCATTCTATTTCATACTAGAAGTTATTGCTGTTGTAGATGAATGGGTCCAACCAGCTAGACTATTGTGCGAGCGGAATTCCTCGCCACAGCAGGGTGCCAGGCATTTGGTTAGCAGCTGTGACTGCAGCTTGCTACTAAGGTATGAACAAATCACCCCACTGACGAGCTGAGCTCGGGGTGGTCTAATTAAAACAGATGCCACTTGGATACAAACTCACAGGACCTTGGAATGCGGGGGGGATTTCGGGGTCATCTAGTCCAACCACTCACACATGTGCAGCGAGGCCTGCAGGAACTAAATCACTCCTGCCCCAGCTTGAAAGAGCAGGCGCGCCACATGTGTTCCCATATGCACATCCCAAGAGTCTGTTCCATGCACACTCGAACTTTATTCGGTTGCCGGAGAGGCTAAAGAGGAGGGAGCGAAGGGCCAGTTCAGTAGGGGTGCTTCAGGGTGTGGTCCATGATGGTCTGGAGCGCCAGCCACGTCTCCTGGGCCGTGGGGACGATCTGGGAGGCGGGCAGCAGGAAGCCGTAGCGCCCGGTGTCGCGGAGCTCGAAGGTGTAGGAGTACTTGATGCCCTGGTTGTAGGTCCAGTCAATGGTGCCTCCACTGGCTCGGTCTGGGCAGCAACAGAAGCAGGAGAGCGATGGTCAGTCACCTGGAAATACTGCAAGGGCCAGGCTGACGGTCCAAAGCCCGGAGCCCCTGCAGCGCTGATGGGGTCACCATCTACTCGGTGCCTGCTGTCGACCAAGCAGCCTGGCTTCCTCCCTAGTAACTCCCCAGAAGGTTCTCAGCCCAAGAGGCCCACCGAGGGGGGCCGGCAAGGGTTCTCCTCTCCCTGGGGATGCGGGAAAGTTCCCACGATCGCAAAAGCGCCACTGAGAACCGCTCCGTCCCCCAGGAGCCGTTTTGGTCAGGCCTCCAACTACTCCAGCTACCCACTTGAGTCGCCAGGATTTGACCCCTGAGGCCGTGGCCTGCAGGGGGAAAGTGCAAGGGCCAGAGTCAAAGCAAAACTTCCTTGTCTGTCTTTTCAGGAGAAACTTGGCCCAGATTTGCAGTTACCAAGCCCTTAGGAAGCTGCTTTCAAATTGGGCAGGAAGGAGGGAGGCGGCTGCGTATCCGAATTTAACTTGACAGCCTTGAATAAAGCAAAAACCTTAGACTTGGTGTTGAGACAGTTGCCAAAGAAGGCCTGGAGCCCAAAAGCAAGGCCAGCCCTGGGGAAGGTTGTGACCCACCAAAACCTGGGCCCGAGGGCGGGACGTATGTGAGACCTGCACGCCTCCCACCTCTGTCCCTGTGCCCTGCTTTTCAGTGCTCCTGCCTCCGGTCAGCTGGTTAACCCAGTGCGTTCCCTCTGGGCCCCAGAGATCTGCCTGCACCCCACCTGCCTCCACAATTCTGTGTTCTCACTCGGCTGCAGCCACCAGGGTCTCTGTGCTATCCCTGCTATTCCTACAACGGGGCCAAACCACAGGTAGGGCTTTTGTTCTAGAAGGTTCCTCTGTCTGGAAGCTCTTCCCCAGATAGATAGCCTCTGGGCTTCCTCCCTTATTTCCTTCAACACTTGTCCAAATTTCACTCTCTCATTGAGGCCTTCCCTTCAATTCACCCGCCCACTCCCACCCCCAGGTTCCCGGGTCCCCTCAATCTGTTCTAGTTTTCCTTTTACTCCCTAACATACTGTACCATTTACTCTTGGTCATTGTCAGTCTCCCTGGCTAGAATGTAAGGCTTCGTTTTGTTGTGGTTTTTCTTTTGTTTGTTTGTTTTTTAATATATTTTTATTGATTTTTTTTACAGCGAGGAAGGGAGAGGGATAGAGAGTTAGAAACATCGATGAGAGAGAAAGATTGATCAGCTGCCTCCTGCACATCTCCCACTGGGTATGTGCCCGCAACCAAGGTACATGCCCTTGACCGGAATCAAACCTGGGACCCTTGAGTCCGCAGGCTGACGTTCTATCCACTGAGCCAAACCGGTTAGGGCTGTTTTTGTTTTGTTTTTTAATCTATGCTTATTTTATTTCCAAGCAAGTAAAACAAGGCCTAGTGCACAGTAGGTGCTCAATAAGTATTTGTTGGGTAGCAGTGTTCCTACCACGGTCACTGTATAAGCAAGTGGGGAAAGAGTAGATGTATTCTCTAATTGAAGGGCATTGCAGGGGATATTTTTTAAGTTGAATCTCTGGGTGATCTACGACTGCCAGCAGAACTCTCCACCTTCACTCTCCACGAAGCTGGACTTAACCCCAAGACAAGGGGACAAGAGTTCTCAGAGGAACCGACATGTTTGTTTGAAGGTGTCGAAGAAGGCAGAGAAAGGGCAGCACTGCCCACGGAGCCCGCAGTTATTAGACGGGGTCAGGAACCATTCTCCCTGCCCATGTCTCCAGATCTGGGCACCCTTGGCCAACTGAGCTCCCCCCACCCCCGCCCAGGGTCACACACAGAGACCATGCACCCACTTACAAATTGCTTTGATGATGCTGCCATACTTGAACTTGGTCCCATACAGGGAGGCCAGGGCCGTCACAGCAGACTTGGCCAGCTCATCCTGGAGAAAATGCCAAACAAAACCCATCATGGCCAGCAACACCAAGCCCCCAGAACAGCAGGGCCAGGGCAGCCAGGGGTGGCAGGGTGACCAGGGAACACGCACCCCGCAGAAGCAGGTCCCGAGCAGAGAACACAGGACCTGAACTTGAGATTCAAGCTCCAAGTCTAGCCCCTCCTCTCAGTCTGCCACGTGACAGAAGTGACTCAACCACTCGATGCCTCAGTTTCCCAGACTGAAAGTAAGGCTGGTCTGTCTTGCCAGTCTCCCCCGTCAGGGGCCCGGGGGGAACAGGGTGTCAGGCAGGTGTAGGCCCTCGCGCCTTAAGCAGATCTGATGGATGAAGCCCTAGGCCTGCTGCCCAGAGCTGCCTTTGGGATCGAAGGGCAAGCGGGGTGAGCGCGTACCAGCTCAGCCTGGTCCTGGGCGGGGTCTGTTGTGTAGCCATAGGGATAGAGGAGGAGCTGGGAGTAGCTGTGGATGGAGATGAAGGCCTTGATGTTCCCATGGCTCTTCACAAAGTCCACGATGGACTTGACCTCCGTTTCAGAATTGGCAAACTTGCCGTGGTAAGTCTCAGAGCAGGGGTTGCTGCTGGCTCCAGCCTCTGAGGAGGAGAGAGGGGGTAGTTGGCATTCCTTACAGCGAAGCCAAGTGTCCCTGCATGGGGTACGGGGTGAGGTGGATGTAGGAGGGCTCACCCCCACCCTCCGATGAAGGAAAGGCCAGAGGCCTTTTATAATCTGGGGGCCCGCCTCTCCAGGCCGTGGGCAGAGATGATGGACCCGCCCAGGACGGGAGAAGAGCTCTCAAGCCAGACCCACTTCTGCATGAAGGGGCGGCCTGCAGACCCCTAGGGAGGCTTCAGATCTCAGTTCCATTGGGAGGAACTTTCTCGTTACAGACAAGGGACAAGCAAGCCTCAGAATGCCACCTCCCTCACTGAGCCTCAAAGAGGGGCTGACAGTACCACCACCCCCACCCCAAGCCCTTGCTGCTGGGGCAGGACAGGGACGGGGGGCAACAGGACAGAAGTGTAAGAAGGCATTCCCAGTTGTCCCATCCCTGCTCCCAGATCACCCTGGGCCTTACTCCCAAAGCCAGCGTCCCAGTTCCGGTTGGGGTCCACCCCAACACAGGAGGAGCCTGCCGTGATGGATCGAGTCTTGCGCCACAAACGGTTCTGAGGAAGGAATCAGACACTAATCTGTTACCATCCCCGGCGCTCACAGGGTGCAACTCAAAGCACCCTGATCCGGAGCTTGGGTGTGGACAAGGCCTGGGGCCGGAAACCACTCTCGACTGGCTGTCGGGAGGAAGATGTATACTAGTAGAGGGGGCTCTTGGTTGAAGGAGGATGGAGGAGGAGACAATGGGTGACATGTGGCCAGAAGTTTCTTCTGGTGGGAAGTGAAAAGGCCTGAGGTGCCCACCCCATTCACATCTGATTGGTAGCATGCTGTACCTGCCATAACAATGAAATAAAGCCAGGAAGTAAGGTCTGGGCAGTGGGTCTCCACTGGGGACAATTTTGTCCCCCCACAACTGGACATTTGGCAATGTTTGAAAACGTTTTTGGTGATCTCAGCTAGGGCGCTGCTACTGGCATCTCATGAGTACTCGTCAGGATGTGCTAACCACTCAGCATGACCAAGATGCCAAGAACGCTGAGGTTGAGAACCCTGACCTGGGGGCAGGTCTGTTTGCCCTTCCCTTGACTCCTGGAGATTGAGAATAGGGGTGAGTAACCTGGTCTCAGGAGGCAGAGGCCCACCCTGCTTTCCCCAAGAACAGGAGAAGGCATATACCTTGCTGTGGGTGAAGGCAAAGCCATCAGGGTTGGTGACAATCTCTAGGAAGATGTCCATCTTGTCAAGAATGGCGGTGAAGGCCGGGTTTTGGCCATAGTCCTGTGTGATCTGTGAGGGTTGGAAGGCAGAGAGGTGAGGGGGCCGGGTCAGGCGTCTGCCATGCTAGACCAGTAGACACCTGCCCGCCCCGCCTCTGCAGTCACGGTTTCTGGATGGGAAGAGGAGGCCAGTATTCTATGGGCCTGGGGCACCAGTGCTTCACGGGGCCAGAGCCCCCCCCCATCCCCCCCACACACACACACAGCTCCCCGGGCTTACCTTCTTTGCAAACCAGATCCCGCTGGCCTGAGTGACCCACTCCCGGGAGTGGATGCCCGTGTCGATCCAGATGGCGGGGCGGTTGTTTCCCCCAGTGCTGAACTAAACGAGAAGAGCAGAGAGGTGGTCCGGCTGGGGCCTGGTCTCGCCCCGGGGTCAGAGGCCAGCTGCTCTCTGGGTATCACAGGTGGAGACTCTGTTTGTGGGGCTACCACTCAGGTGGGGCATAGGGGCGCGGCCTGGACAGAGACCCCCACAGAAGTTGGCCTCCTGCCCTCAGCCCAAGCTTCCAGGCCCCACCCTGCTCCTCACCATTGGAGGTCACAAAACATTTGGTCTGGGTCACCCCAACTCCAGGATACTTCCCACAATGTGAGACTTGATTGGAAACGCTTAGGTCACTTAAACGTTAAAATTGTGCATACAGATGCGCGCACACCTAGGCCAGCATGGAAATCCAGACCTTCCCACTGTTGGCACGGGGAGTCGGTGAACATGGTGTTCCCCGTGACCACAGGCTCCCCCTACACACAATGTGGGTGCCCATTCTTGCATATGTGCCGTGTACACCACCTGCAGGAGCTCATTACCTTCAGCACGTAGATGGGACGGCCTTCATAGGTTTTGCCGATCTGGAGCTTGCTGACAAGCTGTGGGTGCTCAGCCACCAGCATGTCCATGAAGCCATAGATCTGAGAAGGGACAGGAGGGAAGGCCGGCTTTAATGGCTTCCAGGCTCCGGGATGCCTCCCTTAACATTCCAGTGAGCCCTGCAGTGTGGAAGGGCCCAGACCACCAGGCCACATGGAGACAGGGCAGGTGCCACACACACCCAGGCTCTGCCTGCCTGACCAAGAGCTTGGTGCCTGTGGGCGTGGCCCAGAGGTCCCTCACCTCATCCAGGGTGTGGTAGGTGGCATAGTTAAAGGTGTCGGTGGAGGCGGCCCGGGCCTGGAAGGCGAACATCTGCTCCTCCTCCTCGTCCAGCAGCGACTGCACATCCTCAATCATGATCGTGTACTCGATGCCATGGGCCTCCAGGAAGACTTTGACAGCTTGGAGGCTGGGGAAGGGCACTCGGACATCGATGGGGGAGCCAGGCTGGGCAGGGCCCCGCCAGAAGTCCAGCTGGGAAGGACAAGAGCCAGCACTGTCACAGCGGGCTGGGGAGGGGCCAGCCTGGGAAAGGGTTTGGTGGCAGAATTTCCCATACAATTGGGGATGTCAGGGACAGAGGACGAAGGGAACCCCTGGACACAGGACGAAGTCCAGTATGATCAGAGAAATGGCCCAGGAAGCAGAGTCGGGTGAGGACATGGAGACAGCAAGGGCGGGCGGGGGGGAGGACTAGAACGGGGATCCCCCTTTGCTCAGGTGCACAAAGGCACCAAGATGCAGGAGGTTTAATCACTTCCTAACAGGGATCAGTCCCATGGCTCCTTTCTAGAAGGCTTGGGGGAGAGAGCCCAGGCTCCAGGGGTCGGTGGGGGCTGAGGGTGGGCCCAGGTGGCCTGAGAGACACCCTGGGCCTCAGGGAAGGCTCCTCTGTCCTCTGACCTGCAGGTGCTCCAGGTCCTCCAGCTCCGTCACCTTCTGGACCTGGGCTTCATCAGCCACAGAGATTCGGAGCACCTGGTGCCTGGGCAGAGGAGAAGGGGGAGACTGAGGGTCCGAGAGCCCCTCCTGGCCATGCACATTCCCCGGTGGGAGGAGGGCAGCAGGCGGCCTAGAAACCCAGGCTGGGCCTCAGTCCTCTGGGCTGAGCAAGGGGAAGCACAAGGGGTCTCAGCAATAGATGGTCTGGGCTCCTGCGAACCTTCCGGACACTGCTGATGTCCCCAGTCCCAGTGTAGACTCTGTGTCTCTCTCCAAAGCCAGCCAAGCCTCCTCCTGCCTCTTCTCCAGGAAATTCCTCCTCAGAGCTCAGGTATCCAGGGCTCAGGGGGCAGCCCTGATCCCTTCTCAGCCCTGGTCCCTGGTCAGCCTGCCTCCCAGAGTGTGTCTGTCTGTCCATCTCCTCCAGATGGTGGCTGGAGGCTGAGCCCTCCCTACCTCCCCTCTTACCCCACGAAGTCCTCTTTGCCAAGGACAGCCCCCAGCAGGAGACTGAAAATCAGCAGCCCCTGCATGTTGAAGCCAGTAGGGAAGGTCAACTGAGAAGAGAGGATCTGGGGGCCTTTTAAACTCTCCCAGGACAGAGGTTTCCTGCCTGTGCCCGAGAGCTGGCCTCCCCTTGCACCTGGGTGCTGTCCCACGGGGAGGGAGCGGTGGGAGATCCGAGCTCTGATACCTTCTCACCCTTCCTGATAAAGTGGCAGGGAACAGGGCAGCTGGAGAGATAAGCTGGGGCTCAATCCCTTGGCCATGAAGGGCCTGAAGGTCACTGGGGCTTAAGGCCCCCCAGCTGGGACCCTGCCTCGCCCACAGCCCACGGTGCTGCACCCACAAGCCAGGCACCCACAGTTGTCCTGGGCAGCGGAGAAGGAGCCAGAACTTTGGAGGAGCCACACCAGCTGGGGCCTCTTGTGAAGCGCTCCCTGAGACCAGCTAGTTTGTTCTTGTGACAGAGCAGGCGGGACCCCGTACCCCACCCAGTTGCTGTACCTGCTGCTCCTCACCACGTTGGCTTTGTCCAGGGCTCCGCCTCCCCTGTGCAGGGCACACCCCCTCTGGGGTACAGCCCCTTGAAGGGCACTTCCCAGCCCCACTCCTATCAGCCTCGGGGCCCTGCGGGAGTCGGGCATCAGCTGGGGCAGAAGCCCAATTCCTGCCAGCGTCTCCTCCACCACCCCCACCACAGGGCTGTGGGAGCAGGACTGCCCTGGATGGGAACTGTAAACAGATGTCATCTGAGCGGACGGTGTGGTGCTGGGAGCCAGGGCCAGGCGGTTGGGACTGCACAGAGCCCAGAGGGCCCTGGAACTCACAAAGGGGAATTGGCTCTGGCTCTGGCTCTGGACTCTGATCTCATCATGGAGACATCTACGGAAAATCCACCCGGATCCACAGGGGCCCCAGCAGCTCCCGGCACCATCTGGGGGCCCGGCTCTGTCTCAGAGCCTCCAACGTGGGTGCTGACGACAGCCTCAGTTGCCCTTCCTGGTTTCCATGTGCTCCCTCTGCCTCTCTGCCCCACCCCTACCTGCCAACCCTCCTGTGTCCAGGCAGAGTGACCCATTCTAGTAGCCCACGGCCTCCTCCTGAACCCAGACGATGAAATACTAACCCCCCACCACCCCACCCCAGGTCCTGCGCCTCCATGAAGACTGTTGTTTTCCACTCTACAGCCTTCAGGCCCAGGCAAGGCTCGCTTCCTCCCTGAAGCTTCCTCTGGCTTCTTCCTCCCGCACTCATCTGCCCCTTCTCTGAAGTTGCATCCCTTCGTGCCGTCATCCTTCTGGGCCAGGCACTGTGCTCCACTGTGAGATGGTGCCCAGGACGCCTGGTCCCCGATCTCAGGGAGCTCAGGGCCCAGCAGGGAAGACAGGAATAACCAACTCTCAGGTCCTCCAAGAAGCTGCCATCAAGACTAGACCAGACGTGCCAGGGAGTCATGGGGAGAAATGCCCAGGAAGGATAACGAGGAGGGATCAGAAGGCAGGAGCACCTTCACCAGATGTGGGGTCTGACACCTGGGGACGGAGGGGGAAGGAGGGAGGGGAAAGGATGGAGGGGGAAGGACGGAGGGGTGGGCAGGAGGAGCTCAGACGGCAGCACAGTGCTGAGACCATGACAGCCAGGCTGTTGTGCCATCTGTGAGCCAACATGGTCATCGGGCGAGTCCTGCATTCCTCAGGAAGGCTGGCCCTAGTGCCCGCTTTGCTGTCGCCAGCTGGGAACAGCCGTGGGAAGTGTGCCCTCATCTCAGCTATGTCCCCTGCTGACTGGTCCCCGATCTCAGAGCTCTCGGTCTGGTGGGAAAGTGACCAACTAACATGCTGGTTCTCCGACAGGTCTTACAAGAAGCTGTTGCCAAAACAGAATTAGACACGCAAGAGACTTCCCGGAGATGCTCCCCTCACTGCGGGAGACCTGAGCAGGGGGTTCTCCGGGGTGTGGCCTGAAAAGCACCAGGGGGGCTATGGACTCAGCACTATGGGTCCACGTAGGAGGGTCCAGGGAAGACTTTACCAAGAAGGGGACATCTCATCTGCGTCTTCATGACAGGATTTTGCCAGGCCGGGAAGAGAAGGGATGCTTATCACATGAACTCACACTTACTCCTCCTTCCTTGTAGCTGGAGTGTTATTTCTATCTCCCCAGCCAGACTCTAAATGTGCTCAGATGAGGACCCGTCTTACCTGGTCCTCACAGTCTCATCTCAGTGCCCTGCAGTCTTCTCAAACTCTCCAATCTGCCCCCTCCAGGAAAGAAGGCTTGTGGAGGCCTTCCTTGGTCTGCATTATTTAAAAAATATATATGTATTTTTTTCTATGTCTAAATCTAAAGCTGTCCTATAATTTTGACTCTGTTTTATGTACACTACACATGTGTAGGGTGTTGGCTAATGCTGAGGCCTTCTGTGAATTCCAGAAAAGACAAGCCCATGGGAAAAGGGAGGAGGGGTGGGAAAGGGCACAGCCTCCGGAGAGGGCCTCCTGCAGCCTCCAGCCAGCCATCTAAGGTGTCCAAGAGTCATAGAATCTATTTTCTTGCAAAGTTGGGAAAGACTAACTCAATGCTGTAAACAAATGAGGGCCCGCACTGGCCGGAAGCTGAGGAATGGGGTCCCAGGTGAAGACTAGCCTAATTCCCCACGTCTTTGCCAAGCACCTCAGGAAGCTGAAAAGTGCCTCTTGGTAGAGACGTTTGCTAGAATGGGACGTGGGGCAGAGGGCCTCAGCTCTGCCTTCCCATTCCGCGGGCTGGTCTCGCATGGGTCCAAAGCAAGGCGGAGAGGAAGGCCACTGGGCTGGAAGCTGGGGGAATAGGCAGAGAACCAAGCCCTCTGAGCATGAGAAAGAAACCACTAGGCTGGCATCTAGGCTCAAGGACAGGTGGCCAGGCAAGTGCCTGAATGCAAATAGACGGAGGCCCGATGGAGGCCCACGGACTGGTGTTCACGGTGTCCCTCCCTTCTTCCTGGCCGAACAAACCCGAATTATGTGCAGCCATCACCCCTCAGGGAAGTCACCCCCTTCCCAGCTCAGGGACTAAGTCGAAGAGCAGTCAAGTGACTGGTTTAGGGATGGGCATGTGACCCAGTTTTGCCAATGAGATGTGGGGGGGAGGTCAGCAAAGAAGTTTCTAGAAAACACTTCCTCACTCTTGAAAAAGACACACGTTTCTCTGCATATTGTCCTTTTCACTAATTGGGGTTTCTGTTGTTTTTGTGAAAAACACTCCTGCCCTAGCCAGTTTGGTTCAGTGGATACAGCATCAGCCTGCGGACTAAAAGGTCCCGGGTTCAATTCGGTCAAGGGCAGGTACCTTGGTTGCAGGGTCCTCCCCGGCCCACGCCTTGGTGGGGGCTCATGCAGGAGGCAAGCAATTGATGTGTCCAGTGCTTCTCTCTGTCTTGCCCTCTCTCTTCCACTCTCCCTAAAAATCAATGGAAAAATATCTTTGGGTGAGGATTAAATAAATTCATTAGTTAATCAATTAAAATGAAAAGCATTCCAAATGCTGTACTTAGTAAACCTTTAAGTGCTTGTACTGTTGGGAGACAATACAATTTTCAGTCTAGGGAACCTTTATGTGACATGGGGAAAGGCCCCCTCCCCTCTGGGCAGACACAGTCCCTCAGCCTCCCAGCAGAATGCCTTTGTCTGTGCACAAACTGGACAAGTACCCATGACAGCCCGGTGGCCAGAGAATGCCCAGGCGTGGTAAACAGAGGCTCTAAGACGCTGCTCAGAGACCCTCAAACCAAAACCTAGAGAATAGGCTGTTAAAGAGGCAGAAGAACCAGTCCCTCGTGTCTAGATGAGGGAGCAAAGGGGACAGTAGGCCAGGGAAATCCTCGCAGAGAGCACAGATGGGCGCAGTCAGAATGGCTGGACCCAGTTAAGCAGGAGACTTCCGCTGTCTTCCGTTGGCCAGTGTGTTTAAGGTTGTGTGTGGCGCAGTTGTGTGTCTGGGAAGAGAAGTCGATGAGAATTTAGAGCAGCCAAGAGGTGGACTGTAACAGACACCCCACTCTCGCCCTATGGTATCCTCCTCCTTCGGGTAACAGCACCTCCATTTCCCTACGCTGAGGCCATATGACTCAGGACCGACCCCGCCATACCCGCCCCAGCTCTAGGAATGAGCCAGCAAATTCCTTTCTTTCTCAAGCATTTTCAAGTTGGTTTTCTGTCCCATGTGACTGGAGAGATGCACAGCAACACAAGACACCCTCCAGCTTCTGAAGAGAGGAAAGGAGGATGGCACGCCTTCTAAAGTAGATTGCCACAAAGCCAGGCTGTGATTTCGGGCGGGGTCCTGCACACCCCGGGCCTCCGTTTCCTCGGTTATGAAACGAGGAGTTGGGCACCGTGATCTCCATGGTCCCTTCCAGCTGTGACCCTTGGGTTCTAGGGCGTTTGTATTTCTGGTCGCAGCTGCGGTGACCGCTCGGGGCAGGGCAGAGAGGCTTTCCCGGTTTGTGTGGAGCCTGGAATAGGGCCACAGGGGCTCTGCGGCCAACTTGCAAGATCAGTGCTCCCAGGGCAGTGTCGGTCAAGAGGGGCCACATCCTGCTGAGGCTCAGTGGGGGGCTGGGGCTGGGGCTGCCTGGCAGGCTGGAAGGAGGAGGTTCTGACAGGGTCCTCTGAGTTTTGCTTTCATAACTGAGCGCCCAGAGCCTGTTGCTTGTTTTCTTTGAAGCTGCAGAACCGTCGCTGTAAGGTGGCCAGCGGTGCTTGTCTCCAGAAGGGACCAGAAGGCTCTGGAGGAAGAGTCACCTGAAGAGAGAAGTGCTCCAGGGGAACGTCAAGTCGCAGCCCACATCCCAGAACAGAGATCTGGAAAGAGGACCTAAGCAGGAGTGGCCACCGTGGAAAAGGGGATATGGGGGAGGGGAGTTCGCTTCTTACTTTGCCTGAGAGAGAGAGTGGGGAGGGCTGTTCCTGGACTTGGGGGGCAGAGTGGGCTGCCCCTGGGATAGGGGAGCAGGCGGAGGGTCGAGGGGAGCGAGCACTGTCGGGAG